GTACAGTAGCGGCCCTGCCAACTTACTGAACCGACTGGAAGCGATGCTCAAAGGTCAAAGGGCTCAGACGGGTCCTGGAGCCCCACCGGGTCGGACTCCTCCAGTGAGCACCCTCTGGGAGCAAAAAAAAATTGTCTACACATTTTTATTATACATGTTAATATTTAATTCTTTCTTTAGGAAAAACTTCAATGAAATGAATAAAAACCCTGGTAAAGTTAGATGGCCTGGATTCAATTGTAATTATATCACTTACTAGCTTGGCCATGTACTTTCAACTTTGGTCTCTTCAACTTAATATTGGGATAGTAATAGTAGCCCACTTTATAAGATGATTAAATGAAAGGATGCACGGTGCCTGACTCATAGCCAAAAGTTAGCTGTCATTCTTTTTTTTTTTCCAGAGGTTTTAGCCTTAGGGCATGTGTGCTGACAGGTGAGAAGAGAGAGAGACAGAGACAGTCAGAGGGAAAATGAGAATTACCCCCTGGAGAGATAGCCATGCCACAATCCCTTCTCCATTCTCCTCCAGGAATCTTGGGGACACGCACATGTGCCTGGCGTGAGATTCAAGCCACCAGGTCTAGGACTCGAACCACCTTCAGCCATGTGGGAGTTCAGTGACATAACTGCTATGCCATCTGCTGGTCCAAGCTGTCATTATTCTTAATATTAACATCTATTTACTTATTTACCTTGTTTAGAATTGTATTCCCATTGGAGAGCAGCTTCAGTCTGTTTTGGGAAGTACTGGATACAAGCATATGATTGCACTACAGTCATCATCTACTTCAGAAGTCTTAGACAAATCATCTTCCACACCTTTTCCTTTTAGAACTGGACTGACATCTGGAAGCGTAACTAAAAACTTAAAAGCTTACATTGATAAAAGCACCCAGCCACCTGGTGAAGGAAATACTACAAACCTTGATGAATGTAAAATTGTGCCACAAAACCATTCTCTTCTTGAAAATGATCTTAAGAATGCGGTATCCTCTTTCTTGCCAAAGAAAGGAAGTGACAACTCAGATATACCTAACTCTGAGCTGCTACCTTTTCTCCAAAACTTGTGCAGTCAAGTTAACCTCCTCCGTGTGGGACAGAATGGCAAGCGGCAGGAAAATACTGCCAAGCCTCATGAAGGCGTTGTTGGTGTTGGGTAAGTATTTTAAGATAAATGTAGTTTATTTTGGTAAGTGTAAATATCAGATAAAACAAATTTGTCTCGACAAAAACTGCCTGAAAAACTTCCTAGAGAAAATGTTAATAGATTTCATATTTTTTTTGTTAGAAGAATTTTTTGCTAGAGTGTGTATGCTTGCCGGGGAGACAGAAAGACAGAGAGATAGAAAGTGAGAAATTACGACCCAGGGAGGATGGCCATGCTGCAATCTTTTTTTCCTGTTGGGATTTTGGGCACACATGCACATGCGCCTGGTGTGAGTTTTAAGCCACCATGTCCAGGACCCAAACCATGGTTAATTGCGTGGGAGTCCAACGTAACCAGTATGCTGTCTACTGGTCCCAACAGCTTTCAGGTTTTTTTTGTTGTTGTTGTTGTTTTTAAGAGAGATTTTTTGCTATAGAGCATGTGTGCTCACCAGAGAGATAGAGAGAGACAGAAAGCGAGAAATTACCCCCACCCCCTGGGGGTATGGCCACATCACGGTCCCTTGTCCTTCATTTTCCTCTTGGGATTTTGGGCACACATGCACACACACCAGGCTTGAGTTTTAAGCCACCAGGTTCTGGACTCAAACTGCGGTCAACTCTGTGGGAATCCAGTGACATAATCATTATGCCATCTGCTGTCCCTAGCTTTCACATTTTAATTAATGTACTTAAAGGGAATAGTTACTACTCTTCAAAGTAGAATGGATTACCTTGAAAGAAGTACCTAATAACTGGAGGTGTTGCTCATTCTCAGCCATTTTGTGAAAGGTTTACAAGCATTAGCTAAAGAGTAAAAAGTTACTTGTATTGGGGCCAGCAGGTGGAGTGATGGTTAAGGTACTGGACTCCCACATGAGCAACCACTGTCAGTGATCACAGAGTATTACATTACCACTGTGCCATATGGCATGCCTCTCGTGGTTTCAAAATGTGTTTCCCTGATAGCTAGGATGTCATTGTTGATCATCTTTTCATGGGCTTATCTGCTATTTATATATTATCTCTGATAAGATGACTATGTCTTTTACCCATGTTTTAATTGCATTTTTATATATAATTTTATTTTAATCTCGAGTTTTGAAAGTTTCTTGTGTATATACACTTTATATACAGGTCATTTGTTAGATTTGTGGTTTACAAGTATTTTTTCCTGGTTTGTATTTCAACCCATTTAACATGGTTTTTCACTAGCAAAAAGTTTAAAATTTTGAAGGCAGTCTATCTAATGTGTCAATTTTTACATTTTAATTTAGGATCCATTAATTCCTCTTTCTCTTTCTCCCTCCCATTCTTTCTCTCTTGTTAAAAAAAAATGAGAGAGGGAGGAAAAAAAATATTCAAACTGTTCTTTCCTCATTGAATTACTTTTTCATTTTTGTCAAAGATCAGTAGATAGACTTGTGTAAGGCTATTTCCATGCTCTCTAGTCTGTTGACCTCTGTGTCTACTCCTCTACCAATATCACAGTCTTAAATATTGGCACCATATATGTCTTAAAAATCAAGTAGTGAGGGGACCAGCAGGTGGCATGGTGGTTAAGGTGCTGGACACTCCCACATGGCCAACCAGGGTTCGAATACTGAATCTGGTGGCTTGCTTTCTCACTTCCTTCTCTCTCACTCTCAACCTCTGTCTCTCTTTGGTCAAATTACAAATTAAATAAATGAATAAATAAAATAAAGTAAATCATTATTTTTTAAAAAATCAAGTAGTGGGGCCGGCAAGTGGCATGGTGGTTAAAGGCGCTGGATTCCCACGTGGCCGACCACGGTTCAAGTCTCAGACCTGTTGGCTTGCTTTCTCATTTCCTCTCCCTCTTTCTCTGTCTCTCTCTGATCAAACTGGAAAATAATAATGATGATAATAATAAATAAAGTTAAATAAAATAATTCTTTAAAAAATTTTAAAAAAATAAAAATCAAGTAGTAAATTCTCTTGTTCTTTTTAAAGATTTCTTTTTAGTTCCTTTATCTTTCCATTTTTAAACATTTTTCCATTTCTAGATTTTAGAATCATCTTATCCATATTTACAAAAAACCTTGCTGAACTTTTGACAGGAATTGTATTAAGCCTATATTTCAGTTTGGGGAAAATTGACATCTTACTATATTAAGTCTTCAAATTCAGGTACATGATAATGTCTCTCCTTTTCAGTATCTTACAAGTCAGGCCACAGGTCCTACATGTTTTATTAGATTTGCAGGTATTTTTATATTTTTTATAGATTTATATATTTAGCATGTTTTTATATGTACCTTTATGTTGGCAAGCCTTCTCTTCTATTTTCTGGAAGTAGGTAAAAGATCACAGAGTATTACATTACCACTGTGCCATATGGCATGCCTCTCGTGGTTTCAAAATGTGTTTCCCTGATAGCTAGGATGTCATTGTTGATCATCTTTTCATGGGCTTATCTGCTATTTATATATTATCTCTGATAAGATGACTATGTCTTTTACCCATGTTTTAATTGCATTTTTATATATAATTTTATTTTAATCTCGAGTTTTGAAAGTTTCTTGTGTATATACACTTTATATACAGGTCATTTGTTAGATTTGTGGTTTACAAGTATTTTTTCCTGGTTTGTATTTCAACCCATTTAACATGGTTTTTCACTAGCAAAAAGTTTAAAATTTTGAAGGCAGTCTATCTAATGTGTCAATTTTTACATTTTAATTTAGGATCCATTAATTCCTCTTTCTCTTTCTCCCTCCCATTCTTTCTCTCTTGTTAAAAAAAAATGAGAGAGGGAGGAAAAAAAATATTCAAACTGTTCTTTCCTCATTGAATTACTTTTTCATTTTTGTCAAAGATCAGTAGATAGACTTGTGTAAGGCTATTTCCATGCTCTCTAGTCTGTTGACCTCTGTGTCTACTCCTCTACCAATATCACAGTCTTAAATATTGGCACCATATATGTCTTAAAAATCAAGTAGTGAGGGGACCAGCAGGTGGCATGGTGGTTAAGGTGCTGGACACTCCCACATGGCCAACCAGGGTTAGAATACTGAATCTGGTGGCTTGCTTTCTCACTTCCTTCTCTCTCACTCTCAACCTCTGTCTCTCTTTGGTCAAATTACAAATTAAATAAATGAATAAATAAAATAAAGTAAATCATTATTTTTTAAAAAATCAAGTAGTGGGGCCGGCAAGTGGCATGGTGGTTAAAGGCGCTGGATTCCCACGTGGCCGACCACGGTTCAAGTCTCAGACCTGTTGGCTTGCTTTCTCATTTCCTCTCCCTCTTTCTCTGTCTCTCTCTGATCAAACTGGAAAATAATAATGATAATAATAAATAAAGTTAAATAACTGATCAAACTGGAAAATAATAATGATGATAATAATAAATAAAGTTAAATAAAATAATTCTTTAAAAAATTTAAAAAAAATAAAAATCAAGTAGTAAATTCTCTTGTTCTTTTTAAAGATTTCTTTTTAGTTCCTTTATCTTTCCATTTTTAAACATTTTTCCATTTCTAGATTTTAGAATCATCTTATCCATATTTACAAAAAACCTTGCTGAACTTTTGACAGGAATTGTATTAAGCCTATATTTCAGTTTGGGGAAAATTGACATCTTACTATATTAAGTCTTCAAATTCAGGTACATGATAATGTCTCTCCTTTTCAGTATCTTACAAGTCAGGCCACAGGTCCTACATGTTTTATTAGATTTGCAGGTATTTTTATATTTTTTATAGATTTATATATTTAGCATGTTTTTATATGTACCTTTACGTTGGCAAGCCTTCTCTTCTATTTTCTGGAAGTAGGTAAAATGATGTTCTTTAAATGTTTAATAGAATTCTATAGAGGAACTACCTGGGCCTGGACAGTTCATGAGTTTTTCCAGTTACAAAATCAATATTTTTAGTGTTTTTAGCTCTATTTCATGTTGGCTAAATTTGGTAGTTTGTAGTTTTAAAGAAAGTAATTCATTACTTTGAAGTTCTCAAATTTACGAGGATGAAGTTATCTATTATACTTTCTTATTTATCTTAGAACCTGTAGTGACAGGATCTGAAGGCTCGTAGAGACCCCAAGGTTTTATAGACCACACTCTGAGATTTGCTGTTCTAGTGTTGTGAACTTTAAAAACAGATGTGCTTTTTATTTATTTATTTCTATTTGCTCATTCCAGTTAAATTCTTAAGTATTTTTTTTATCAGGTTAGAAAAGAGCTTTCCGGTACTTCTGTAAGGTTTATGTGAAAGAAGAAAAAAATCCTGAATTGTATGTAGGATTGCTTGGTGAAGTACTTAGAAAATACACATGTTGACTTTGAAAAATAATTGGACAATATCAGTTTTGGTTCAGAGCCCAAAACCAAAAAGATATTTTCTAAAGGCTTGTTATTTAAGGGTTTATCTTTACCTCTCTGTTCCCATTTATTCATATACTTAATAAAAATGATTAAAGAAATAAGACTGTGTTGGATATTCAGGACTGTGGTCACCTGACACGTATGTATTTTAGAAACTGGAAATACGTTATTAGCATACAAGAGTACAATTGTGGAAACACATTATAGCAATGTGCGTTGGCTGTTTGTTGTGTAACTGAGTTGTTTTGTTTTAATACTGTTTCATATAGTTTTTTAATTTTTATTTTTAGAATGGAAGAGCAACCTGTTTACTCTTACTTGGAAAAGCTTCTTTCTAGAAATATGGAACTGATGGAAAAGAAACTCATGGACTACATTGATCAGCGATTATATAAACTCCAGGAGCACATAGATGATAAGATTGCTTTGTTAGTGGACATAATGCAAAATCCTAACTCTCCATCCACTGAGATGCCTCTAAAACATTATGACTCTGGAGAAAGACTTTCAAATGGAGAAAGATAAGCACTCGGCAAATACACTGTAATACAGATATTTATTACTTATTTATTATAAAGCCAAAACCCAAAAATGTTTATGAAAAGTAAGTATTTAATGTCCCATAAAGGATCATCTTACTTTCATAAAATGACCTCAGTGTTTGTTTCTACTGCACTTGTACATCCAGTACTGTACACTAGTGTTAACATGGTACAGTAATGATACAGTTATTCTTGTTTGCAATATTTGTCACTCTTAGGAAAATTGATGAAGCTGGCCACAGGGGTGCAGCAGTAGCACACAGCTCTGCAATGCTGGATCCATTTGGAAGATCAGAGTTTGGTTACCTGATCAATCTGTGCGTTCCGGGAGCACCTGTGTGCACTACTGACCCTGGCTGCTTGGAAGGCTTAGGGGAAAACCACAGCCTGAGATCCTCTTGAGGTTCCTCTTTTTCTCTCTCAGAAGAAATACACTTAAAAAACGTTTATGTCTACTTGTGCTGCTTACGTGTTTAAAATGTTTAAGGATTTGTAATGCAGTACATTAGTTTGTATTCATTATGTATTTGAATTTTTATTTATAAAAGGCCATATTTTATAGTCTAGCAGTATGAAAAGTAATGCTTAGAGTATTTGATTTTTTTTTTGTAATTCATAGAAAATTGGATACTTAAGACTTAGAATTTTTTACTTAGATCACCAGTTTACATTTTGAATTGTTTATCTGAGATAATGAATAAGATGCAGTGGTTGGCACATGTAAAATTAGTTCACAGTGGGGCTGTTAATATTCTGTTTTATTTCAGTAAAAATCAGAATCATCCTGTTCCTTGTTAGGATTCCTTATTTGGACTTGGTATTTTATGTAAAGTGGGAGCAGTCCTCTTGTTTGATCTCAATAAATCCACACAGTATAAGGCAGCCTTTTTTTTTTTTTGGAGAGATTTTCACTGTAGGGCGCGTGCACTCGCCAGACAGACAGAGAGAGACATAGAGACAGAAAGCGAGAAATCACCCCCCGGGGGAATGGTCACGCCGCAATCCCTGCTCCTCCATTCTCCTCTCGGGATCTTGGGCACGCACGCACACGCGCCCAGCGTGAGTTTTAAGCCACCGGGTCCGGGACACGAACCGCGGTCGACTACGTGGGAGTCCAGCAACATAGCCATTACGCTAACTGCTGGTTCCCCTTTTTTTTTTTTTGAGCTGATAGAAAGTTCTTCCTAGAGTCCTTTTCTGGTATATTTAATATATTAAATGCTGAGATTCTGCATTGAAAGATTAAAGCATATGAATTAAGAATATTGCAATTCTCTTGAGCAGATTTAATTTTCAGAATTTATAACTATTGTATATGTGTTGAAGTGTGATATATTTGCACTTAAGAAATAAATGCATGTATTCTGAAACTTACTTGTCTTAATTACATAAAACTTTTATTTTAAATTAATCTTTGCTTAAAATTTTTTTTTTTTTTTTAGAGATTTTTGCTATAGGCCGCACGTGCTTTCCAGAGAAATAGAGAGAGATAGAGACAGAAAGCAAGAAATTACCCCCCAGGGGCAATGCCATACCACAGTCCCTTCTCTTCTAGTCTCCTCTTGGGATTTTGGCCACAAACGTGCACATGTAAATTTCAAGCCACCGGGTCTGGGACTCGAACTGCAGCCAGCCATGTGGGAATCCAGTAGCATAACCATTATGCCATCTGCTGGTCCCTAAAATAACTTTTTTTTTTTTTGGAAAAGGGATATTTTATACTCATTTAATGTTTTGGCAGATTGATTTTTTAAAATAAGGTCTAATTGGACTGGTCCCATAGTCTAGTGCTTAAGTGAGCTGGATCCCACGTGGACAACTATAGTTCAAATCTTAACTCTGGCAGGTTGAAAAATGCAGGGTGTACACATGCCTAGAACCCTAATGGGATGAAGAAATGAAGGAGAAGGGATTGCAACGTAACCACAACTCACTGGGGGGAGATACTTTCTTTCCCTCTTTATCTCTGGTGAGTGCACTTGCTTTCTGGCATATTAAAAATAAATAAATAAAAATTGAGGCTGGCAGGTGGCATGGTGGTTAAGGGCCTTGGACTCCCATATGGCCAACCATGGTTCAAGTCCCGGACCTGGTGGCTTGTTTCTCACTTTGTCTCTCTTTCTCTCTCTCTCACTCTGTCCCTCTCTGGTCAAATTAAAATAAATAAACAGGTTAAATAAAGTAATTCTTTAAAAAAATAAATAAAAATAAAATAAGGAAGCAATTATAATAGTGTCCAAAGATGTATGTACAAGCATGCTCACTACACCATTTTCATAAATGTAAGATGACTTAGATTTCTATCATTTATTCTGTAAGTTATTACAAATCCATACAAAGGACACTGATATATTTTTTTTTCAGGTTTGCTATAGGGCATGTACACTCGCTGGAGAGAGGAAGAGAGAATGTACCCCCCGCCCGGGGTGGGTACACAGCAGCTCCTCCATTTCTCCCCTCAGGATCCTGGACATACATGCACCTGCACTTAGTGTGTCCCTCAAGCCACTGGTCTGAGACTCAAACTGTAGTCACTCATGGGATCCACTCTGTCTCTCTCACTCTGTCCCTCTTTGGTCAAATTTAAATAATAAGTTAAATAATATTTTATCCATCACTGTTATTTTTTAAATTTGACCAGAAAAAAACAGAGAAAGTGAGAAAGCAAGCCATCAGGTTCAGGACTCAAACCATGGGGACCAGCAGTTAGTGTAATGGCTATGTCGCTGGACTCCCATATAGTCGACCACAGTTCGAGTCCCGGACCTGGTGGCTTAAACTCACACCAGGTGCATATGCATGCGTGCCCAAGATCCTGAGAGGACAATGTAGGAGAAGGGATTGCGGTGTGGCCATCCCCCCGGGGGATGATTTCTCTCTTTCTGTCTCTCTGTCTCTTTCTGGCGAGCTCACATGCCCTACAGCAAAAAACCTCTCCAAAAAATAAAAAACCAAAAACCACGGTCAGCCACGTGAGAGTCTAGCACCTTAACCACCATGCCACTTGCTGGCTCTGAATATTACTTTTTAAAAGATACTTAATCTCGGGACCAGTGGTTAGCATAATGGCTATGTCGCTAGATTCCCACGTAGTCGACCGCGGTTCAAGTCCTGGATCCGGTGGCTTAAAACTCACACTGGGCGTGTGTGCGTGCATGCCCAAGATCCCGAGAGGAGAAAGGAGGAGAAGGGATTGCAGCGTGGCCATCCCCCCTGGGGGGTGATTTCTTGCTTTCTGTCTCTCTCACACTGCCTGTCTGGCGAGCGCACGCGCCCTATAGCAAAAACTTCTCAAAAAAAAAAAAATACTGATCTCAGGATCAGCAGTTAGTGTAATGGCTATGTCACTGGACTCCCATGTAGTTGACTGCGGTTCGAGTCCCGGACTGGGTGGCTTAAACTCACACCAGGTGTGTGTGCGTGTGTGCCCAAGATCCTGAGAGGAGAATGGAGGAGAAGGGATTGTGGCGTGGCCATCCCCTCTGGGGGGTGATTTCTCACTTTCTGTCTCTCTGTCTCTCTCTGTCTTTCTGGCAAGTGCACGTGCCCTATAGCAAAAACCTCAAAGAAAAAAAAAACTGATCTCAGGACCAACAGGTGTGCATGGTTAAAGCACTGGATTCTCACATGGCTGACCATGGTTTGAGACCTGGTCCTGGTGGCTTGTTTTTTTTTAATTTTCTTTCTTTCTCTCTAATGAGCCCTATAGCAGATTAAAAATAATAATAAAAATAACAATACATACTTTTTTTTTCGGAGAAATTTTTGCTATGAGGTGTGTATGTGCTCTCCAGAGAGACAGCAAGAAATCACTCCCCAGGGGGATGCCCATGCCACAATCCTCCATTCTCCTCGGGATTTAGGGCATGCATGCACGCAGCACCTGGCATGAATTTTAAGCCACTGGGTCCAGGACTCCAACTGCAGTTGACTATGTTGGAGTCCAGCGATGTAACCACTGTATCACTTGCTGGTCCCTAAACAAATATTTCTTGAAAAGATACTGATCTCTGGAAATATGCCGATGATGCTATATACTAAATGAAGAAAACTGAAATATATATAATGTGGTCACACTTAAGTGTGAACATATGCATTTGAGCATTTAATCTAATCTTTACTTTCTGATTTTTTTTACTAAAATAGTCTTTTTTAAATCCAAAGCTAATAGTTTTCATAAGAACATCAGTTCATCAGTCTCAAAGAAAGATACAAGCTTTGTTCCTTTGTAAGTGGAGTTATTAACTATTAGGTTTCATGACAAAGTATGTACTTGTTCACATTCAGTAAAAGTCTTACAATTTCTTCAGGCCCTAATATACTTTTCTTTAAAATAATTATTTTATTGAACTTTATGTATTTATTTTTTAATTTGACCAGAGAGGGACAGAGAGAGAGAAAGAGAGAGAGAGAGAGAAAGCCACCAGGTCCAGGACTGGAACCACCATCAGCCTTATGAGAGTTTATTGTCCTTAACCACTGTGGTACCTGCTGGCCCCAAGCCCTAGTATACTTTTTTCTTTTTTTTTTTTTTAGAGAGAGGTATTTTTGCTATAGCATGTGTGCACTCACCAGAAAGAGAGAGACAGAAAGTGAGAAACCACAACCCCTCCCCAGGGGAATAGCCACACTACAATCCCTTCTCCTCCATTCTCCATTCAGGATTTTGTACATGCACACACCTGTGCCTGGCATGAGTTTTAAGCTGCCAGGTCCAGGACTCAAACCATGGTCAACCACATGGGAGTCCAGCAACATAACCATTACATCATCTGCTGGTCCCCAGGCCCTACTATACTTTTAATAGACTTTACATAAAGAAATCATTAATGCTTTTCCCCCCCAAGGACCTCAAGAAAAACAAATTCCTAGTGACTTTGTGATGAGCTAACTATAGTTCATTAGCTGCATGGCTGTATGAGGGTTCCAGGTAGAAGGTGGGGCTGTGGACTATCTTCATTACCAACGGTGGTCTCTACCAGACACATCAATCAAGCTCCAGGGCCAGTCTGGGAGGTGCCAATCTGGTGGAAACCCAGAAAATCCTGATGCTGCAATTCAACCCAATGAGGACTATATCTATACAATAGAAGGACCAGAAAATAAAAACATCAGAATGATCTTTTCCTACTTTCCTGTGGTGGAACTCACTGACTACATTGGGGAAGGGGAATGGAGTCTCTGTGAAGAGTCAGCTGCTACTAGAGTTGGTAATAACACCCATGAGCACCATGACGATGATGACTGCATGCCCAGCACTGGCTCCTAAAGGTCAAGATCAGTACTAATATTACAGACATGAGGTTAAGAACCTGTCTGAGTCATACGATAGTAAATAGAATGATCAGCTAGTACCCAGATAAACTCTAGCCCTCAAAACACTAAACTTGTGGTTCCAAATTTTGTTATGCATTAGAATCAGCAGGTGAGCTTCCGATAACCCAGACTCCCGGGTAGCAGCCCGTGAACTTAGATCATGATCTCGGTGAGGGTGGAGAGGGCCCAGGCATCAGTGTGTAGGTTTATTTTGTTTTGTTTTGTTTTGTTTTTAATTTTCCAGAAGGCATACGTGCCTGCCTGCAAGAGAGAAAGAGAGAGAGGAAAAGTGAGAAAACACTCGTATGGAACATGGTCATGCTGCAATCCCTGCTCCTCCATTTCTCCTTCCTTTCAGAATTTTAAGCAGGTATGCATATGCACCTGGTGTGCTTTTCAAGCCACCAGGTCTGGGCCTCAACTGAACAATTGGCCGTGTGGGTCCCTGCTGCCTTAACCACACCACTAGTTGGCCCCATCAATATATTTTAATTAATTAATTATTTTATAGAGATTTTTGCTATAGGGCTCATACACCCACAAGAGGCGCGCACACACACACACACACACACACACACACACAGAGAGAGAGAGAGAGAGAGAGAGAGAAATCACTCCCAGGGGAAATGGCCATGGCACAATCCCTTCCCTTCCATTCTCCTTGGGATTTGGGGCACACACATACACATGCCTGGCATGAGTTTCAAGACGCCAGGTCCAGTCCACCATGGTGGGAATCAAGCCCTTTAAACACTACACGACCTGCTGGCCCCATCAATATTTATTTATTTATTTATTTATAGAGGTTTTTGCTATAGGGCTTGTGCGCTCGCCAGAAAAAGAGAGACAGAGAGACAGAAAGCAAGAAATCATCCCCTGGGAGCAATGGCCATGCCGCAATCCCTTCTCCTCCATTCTCCTCTCGGGATCTTGGGCATGCACACACACGTGGTCAGTTTAAGCCACTAGGTCCAGGACTTGACTACATGGGAGTACAGAGATAGCCATTACGCTAACTGCTGGTCCTGGCCCCTGAATTTTATCCTAAGTTCACTTGGAACTTTGTGAGTGGAGAATGACATGACCGAATAATTTGTTTTAAAGATTTATTTATGTATTTAATTCTATTTGTTATTATTTTTTAAGTTGACCAGACAGAGACAGAGAGAGAGAAAGGGAAAGCAAGAAAGCAAGTCATCAGGTCCAGGACTTAAACTGCTGTCAGCCATGTGGGAATCCAGCACCTTTAACCACCACACCACCTGCCCTCCCCATGACTGACTGATTCTTAAAAACTCTGAGCAGCTCTGTGGAGGTCAGTATAGACTGGACTTCTGAGGGTGAAATCCTCCCTGATACCCTCAATCCTCTTAAGTTGTTCTAACTCTGTTGCATCCCAGGAGCCCTAAGACACTGGGATTGCTCAGGGAGGGCACAGATCTACACTGTGACTCAGGGAGTCCATTCCTACCTAGGCGGGTTGCTAGATCAGGTGTTGGCCCTGTGATGCTGCAGTGTTAAGGCAGCACCTCAACACCAAGAGGTTTTGCTAACGGCAGGTTTGGACATTCTCTGCAGAGCTCTGCTTGGTTCCTGTCTGCTCTAAGGGCTGTCTAGGGGCAAGGCCAGAACTGGTGTCCTGGAGAGAGTGAAGAGAGAGTATGTGTATGGGTAGGAATGCTTCTGATTACTAAGAACCATTTACTCTGAGCTGAGCCCCCAAACACCCACCTTCACCTTGGCCTTTCTTTATGAACCCTTCTCTGTCTCTGATGGCTAGTTCTCCTACCTCCCTGATCTTTCTTACTGAGTGTGAGAGCTTGGTGGTCACCTCTTGGGGGTAGGGGGACCTGTCATAGGGGAAGGAAGCTTGGGTTGCAGTCAGGAAAGATGCGATCTTAAACTTGGCAAGTTTAGCTGGGACCGATATTGAAAATGCTCTAAGATTAATGTACATTTTTTTTCTGGGGTTGAAGTTGTGGTGGGTGTTTTTATTTCCTACTCTAATTCTCTTTCCTCTATTGCAATGTAATAGCACAAGTTAGTTGTCCCCAGTGTAGATGTGTGTGATGAGTATGTTTAAATAAAGGATATTTATAATGGGAAGAAAAAAAAAAAAAAACTAGAGCAGAGAGGATTATTTTCAATATTGCACTTTTATTCAAAAGTACATGAAATAACCTGTATTGCATATAATATAATATAAACACTATAGAACTGGACTTGAATAAAATACCTTACTAAGAAAGAAATATCGCTCATGAAGATTTGCATGCCCGCTCTTC